TGTTTTCTTTCTTTCTTTTTTTTCCCTTTCTTTCTTTCTTTGATACTAACAAGATCTTGTTCAACAAAGTGTGGAGTATAACTCCTGTTCTCTTAATTGTTTTAACTATTGAGAAAACAATAAATGCAGTCAACAGTCATTGAATACCTACCACATAATAGAGATTATGTTAGTGAATCAAAGTTGGAAGACTGTATGATAAATAGTACTACAATTTAGTAGGTAAAAGCAAGTGTGCTGCAGCCAGAAAATCACAACTTAAATTGTAGTTTTCCCTCAGAGTAGCTGAGTGACCTTGATGAGTTACTACATCTTTCTAAGTCACAGTTTTCTCTTCCATAAAAGGAATTTAATACAGTGACTGCTTCCCTGATCGTCATTAACAATCAGGTAAAAACATTCAATTCACTGTTTGGCTTAGAGTACATGATCAACAAATCTAGCTAGTTTATAATGGAAAATTTCAAAGAAGATGAAAATGTAGAGAAATTGATAGGAAGCCAAGAAACAGATCCGGCAGATATTGGAAAGTGGTGAAATGCACAAACTATAAAACTTCAGCAAAAAAGAAGCCAGTCCTGGATAAGCATTTTTCTTCTTCATATTCTTCACCAGCTATGCCACAGTCAAGGAGTCGCTAAGCTACTGTAATTCCATCTGAAATCATGTACAAATAGCAGAGTTTGAATTCAGAATCAAGCTGCTTACTGGTTCCTTGGAAACTTGGAGAAATATTTGTATCTTGGCTCATCCAAGATTAAGTGATTTTTATATTTATCAGATTGTTAACTCTAATCATTTGAAAAGACATTCTACCATATTAAGAATACTGCACTTAATAAACACAACATGTAAATTACACTGCTTGTGGGTGTTAGTGGTAAGAACTGGCTGGCTTCTCAAGAAATTTGCTCCATAGAAATTTACTCTCTTAACTACTTCCTTCCCCATCTTTAACCTCCTATAACTGCAAGAGCAGGGATAACCGAAACCAGAAAATAGTTACTACTTTGTCATTTCATTCATTTCTAAAATGTTGAGTCTGTAACTAATAACCATTAAAATATTGACAGTCACAATATTGCCAATTTATAATCCCTAACCAATTTACATTCTTTTTTCTCTAATTTAATAGCATCTAAGCTTTAATTTTATTTTATTTTTCTTGGTGGCTGGCCAGTAAAGGGATTCGATCCCTTGACCTTGGTGTTATAACACTACATTCTAACCAACTGAGCTAATTGGCCAGCCCCCAAATTCTGATATTTATAGTTATGCTGCATTGGAAATGTTTTCTTGCCTAAATATTAACAAATTACTCTCAAACTATAAATTGTATTCAACAATGGTTGTACTTTAGTAGAAATCCTATTCAATTTTCAAATCTATATGATTCATATATTTTAAATCTAATAACTCCTCAAACTTAGCAGAATGCATTCTTTTATTTGCTAGGAGGCATTTGTCTGTTCCTAACCTTTTTACCTTCAGAAAATAAATGATACATGTGACTTGAAAATTGAATCAATCTTTACTAAAAAAGAAATACTAAAAATAGCTAATGTCTTTATCATCTCCATAGTAAGCCTACAGGGCAGACACTGTTGCTGCATCAGTTTTGTAAGATGCATTATGTCTTGCTAATCCTCAATAAATATGAAAAAGTGATCATTTCACAGCTCAGAATTGACAAACTAGAACACATTTCTCATCTGAATAGACAAGATAAGCAGGTTGCCACCAGCACTGCCATCTCTGCCTTCGGGTGTGTTGTGTCCCAGACAGACACTGTTGGTTCATTCTTAGGTCACTGCTGTCTCATTTTTGTCTACTCCTAGTCCAGAGCACTGATTCACATTCCAGACAACCTCCTGTCTTCAGGACCATTCTGTGACCTACCTTCTGAGAAATACTTTAAAGAAATGGGTACCCCCAATTAAACAATTCCAGGTGTAAATTTCTTGCCTGGAGAAAGAATTGAGACATGAATGGGATTCATGAATATAAATTGGGCTTTCCTTACACTTAAATTTTCATTTCAAAATTGTAGAGTATTTACTCCCCACATAAATCCTTATTTGCCTAAAGTGTGTTTACTGTGGGAACCCAAGTGCAGAGCTGGTAGTGCATTGCTATGCATAACTGAATATCAAAGTTCACAAATCCTCAGGCAGAGGGGGCCTGGGTAGGGGGACACTGCAGTGTGGACGCATTGTGTCTGCACTCGCAGCAAAGGTGATGCACTCTCACAGGCTCCGTGCCTTTATTGAGATGAAGTCACCGACCTGCCCACTCTTTCTCTCCCCTTGAATATTATTTGATGTTTGCTTCCTCTTCCCACTGAGACATTCTGTTTTCTGAATGTCTTAACAGCTCTATTGTTTTTCCTTCACCCAGTTTAGAGGCTGGTGTAATAAATGAATCTCTTGTAGATCACTGCAATTTATTTTTGAACAGATGATTCTGAAAGGATGGAGAGATTCAATCAGCAAATACATAAATGGTCTTCAGACACTAAGCCACCCCCTCCCACTTCCTTCCTCCCCTTCTCTCCTCCCCTCCTTCCCTCCTCTCTTCTTATTTGGATAGTAGCTGTGTATATTCTACAAAGGACTTATTGAGGCCAACTGGGTTTTCTCCATATGATCAAATATAAGCCAAAATATTCAAAGACACTTCACTAGTTTTCAACTTGTGCTTTGAGTCTTTGGCCAGAAAAAGACTCTATTATACTCACAATTACATGGGTTTGAGAGTGAGTTCACATTGCCTGCTCTTCCTACAGAATTAAGTAGTAAAGAAGACTGTTGGTCATAATTTTTCTACATGTATACCAAGTTTTCATATGTATATAACAATTCATGCTACAAAGAACTTGATGTGGTTCAATGTCATAATAAAATGGTAAAATAGCCACAGAATTTTTCAGGGCAGTTGGATATATGAATTAGAATGGAAGATCTGAACAATGAGAAAAAACAGAAAACAATTTTTTGCAATTAATGTTAAAAGAAATTTCTCTCAAGTGCCTCTGCATATGAGACCTTCTGAGAGGTAGTGATAAATGGTAATATGGCCCTAGTCGAATTTTTTATTCCCAAGTCTCATAGTTTTCCCTTATCATGTAAACTGTAAACACTTTAGTTATGGAGCCCTCTGAGCTGATATTGTTAGTCTTAAACAGACCTGTCAAGCATATTAAAGGGAGACTTTGACTGTGTACTGTGCAGAGAATGGAGCTGGAGGAAAGGTGGCCATCACCCTTAACTATATTCATAATATATGATGTCTTTACAAGAATTTAAAAACAGGAAGTTAAAACCACTATGAAGGTGAGTTATGGTGTATAATGGGAATGCAAAAAAAAACAAAAAAAAAAAAAAAAAAAAAAAAAACCCTTTTTTTTTAAGGAAAAAAAAATTTTTAAAGCAAAGGCATTTCCTAGGGCACATGCTGCCAGACACCCAGCATTTATCTTATCTCAGTTGATGACTTTCCTTTTATCCTGAAATGATTTGACAATGACTCTATGATTTCCTGTACAAATTACCCTTTGAAAGTGGCAGTGGCGCTTGGCAGCGATCTTCACTTAATTACTGAGTGGATTATTAGCATACGGCTCACTGGCTCCATCCTCAGTTGCAGGTGCAGGCCAGATCACCCATCTTGTCCCTTCCCCAAAGCTTGCTCTAGAGTTTCCAAACTGAGGCCATTGTGCCTCGATCTCATTTGATGAACTGAGCTGATCTCCTAATTTGGTGACCATTTCAAGCTCTGTTTCCACAATATTTCTGAAATATATGTAGATATATTTTTGTATAGTGAAGGATAGCAAAGTGTTATCTTCTGTAAAGATAATATAATTTTATTCTTCTTCAGTATAAATTTAGAACTCTCACATGCAGTCAAAATATAGGTTACTTATCAGCGATACCTATTGATTGGGTAATTTTTACTTTTAGTTTCAATTTTAAAAATCTGGTTATAAAACTTATCTGAGAATTTGCATTAAGAAAATCTAACATTTTAGAAGTTCTTCTTTCTCAGAGAGTTAAGACAGCAGTTCTGCTTATTCTCAGGTACTCAGCATGGTTAATAATACAAGCTTTGGAAGAACCCTATTTTACACCATGAAGTGGATCTGTTTCACTTCTGCACCACTATGTCATTTTCACCTAAATCATAGCTTTCTTCCCAACGTTTATAAGAACAGTTCACAGCCTGCCTTTAAGAATGCACTTTAAACCACTCATTGTGGTGAGGATTAAAATAATGAGAATAAATCAATCCTGGTCCATTTAGAAAAGAAAGACAGAGAAGCCAACCACTGACCCACCCAAAAGGACATAAACAGATAAATTTTTAAATGTTGTATTCTGCGTTATCTATTATGTGTACATGGTGACATATTGGACTGTTTTACAAGAACATTCTCTTGGGAACAATGGTAAAACAGAATAAAAACATGACATACATTTCACTGCTTTTTCCTTTTTGACTAAGGCAATAGATATTGAATTGCTCAAAATAGTGAGTCATTTTGTTCATTAGGACATGAAAAAATGTAATTCATTCAAAGTTCTTAGGTTGTTTGGTGATCTTTGTATGACATGAGATAACACAGGAAAGTAGAATAGTCAGGGAATGAGTCCATTTAATTAAAAAAAAACTTGATAATCTATGAACTCTTCAAATATCATCAAAATCAAATAAAAAGTCACATATAAAAGGCATAATTTATAGCAGTCAACTGACATCAGTAGAGGCTTCTTTGTGTCACATGTGCCCATTGGACCCTTTGGTGTAACAATACAAATGTCAGTGAATTTTGGGGAGCCATCATAGTCTCGTTCACTCTTAAAGGTAAAAAATGCATTCTTAGGAAACAAGCATTTGGATTAAACATTCCTAAAATAAACTTTAAGAACAAGCATTCCTGGTATGGACCTTGAGATGTGCGAAGGTTGCCTTGTGGACAAGTGGCACAACCAGTTCTAAAGGTCGCTTTTCTTCACAGGTTACCAGCCGGTCTTGTCTGGCCAGCAGGGGTTCCAAGGCCTGATGGGAGTGCAGCAGCCACCTCAGAGTCAGAGTGTGATGAGCAGCCAGCAAGGAACTCCGGTGCAAAGCGTGATGGTCTCCTACCCAGCAATGTCTTCTTATCAGGTGCACATCAGCAGCTTGGAAAACGATGGGTTCGAAAGTAGCTCTTGCCAAAGTGAAAGATGCGGGCATGTCTTTATGTTCCGTGGTTGGCTGAGTGGTGGGTGCTTGGCGCAGCCACTGTTGATAGTAGACTTTGAATCACGATTATAAAAGAAAAGTAGAAAATGGGAAATATATGCTTCTGTAACTGCTATGGCTTTTGAATGCTCTGCTAAGTTTGTTTCCATATAAACTTTGTATTCACAGAAGAAAATTTATTAGCCTATAGTTCTATTCATGAAGACCCTTGGGCGTTTTGTTGAAATTTCGTGTATTGGTAGAAAGCCTGCATGACAAATTCTCAATCATTTTTATACATACAAAGAAATTTCATTTTACCATTATTTTAAGTTATAAGAGATTTTGAAATGACATCTCAGATTTATTTAAAAGGCATTTATGAGACCCAACAACTTCATTTTCCAGACTAAACCAAAGTTGAGTATTTTAAAACTGTAATGCACCCTTTTGGGCTTTACATCCTGTAATACCTTGCAAGTAGAAATGCAGAGTCAGTAAAATGCTTTAATCATTATATTCAGCTGCATGCCCCAGGTTCTTCTGGCCTAAAGGACCTATCGTAGGCCTTCCTACCCTGACTCTCCATATTCACATTACATCAAGGTCCGGCTCCATATTAGGTATTCTCAAAAGCCGCAGGCTGAGAGTGAAGTAGGTGCCCAAAAGGGCTCAAAAGCCCCTTTCCCTATGGAAGGCTCCAGGAGACCTTGTTTGCACAAAACCAGAAGGGGAGCATGGCTTTCCAAACTAAGAGAAACCCAGAGTGGGAGACCCAGACCATAGTCCCTAGAGGGCATCAAAAGAAAGGAGAGCAAAAGACTCAGAACCATTACCTTCTTAGCATCACAATGCCAGGCATTGCACCAGGCACTGTATACCATCCGTGCAGTCCTTTTAGTCGCAATTTGAAGTAGGTGTCATTATCCAAACGGTCTAGGGAATCAGAGAGGTTAAGGGACTTTCCCAGTTTGAAACAACTGATAAGTGGCGGAGCTGGGATTAGTGACCTGTTAGATCTAACTCAGAAGCTTGAATACTTTTCACAATTTCACACTGTTCATTGGATAGCCCACAATAGCCTCTTCATGCAGGGTTTTGCTTGTGTCTTTCTGCAGGTGCCAATGACCCAGGGTTCTCAAGCACTGCCCCAGCAGTCATACCAACAGCCAATCATGCTACCTAACCAGGCAGGCCAAGGGTCACTCCCAGCCACTGGAATGCCTGTATACTGTAACGTCACACCGCCAACCCCTCAGAACAACCTTAGGCTGATTGGCCCACACTGCCCCTCCAGCACTGTCCCTGTGATGTCAGCTAGCTGCAGGACAAACTGTGCAAGTATGAGCAACGCCGGTTGGCAGGTCAAATTCTGAGAGCTCTGGCTGTGGTACATTTCTTCAGATATTACTCATGGCCTTTAAGAGAAGAGGAAAAATGTGGGAAAACTGGCTGAGGACTTAAGTATTCATTCGACACTCAAATGATTGCTGCTGGTATTCTGTAAAAAAAATAAACAAAGACTAATACACACATTAGCTGGTTAATGGTGCATATTTCTGTCATGTCTGCTAGGTATGCCTTTATAGCTTAGCTAGTGACATGAATTCATCAAGGTAAGATTTTCTCCTACCACTGAATACCACTGTGTAGATTATAATATCCCTAATTTGGATTAGTTTTGTACTTTGTGTTGAGTTTGTGATGCTAAAAGTATTTAAAAATTATATACTGAAATCACATTGTACCAAAGCTGTAATGGAAGAGAAGAACTGATGAATGGAAGGAATAATTTATATACACTATAGAGTTTTCTTTTTTTAATGGATATATACTGTATTGTAGTGTTTAATCAAAATAAAACTAATTTGACCTTATGGAGGAAGGTCATGTTTTTACCACCAGTTTGTTTCACTCCTCTCTTCCAGTATGTGTTTTTCTCTGTGTCACTGTTATCCCCTTCATGAATAATGCATGGGAAAGGTGTTCCAGGATTTGTAAGTGAACTGGCATCACATTGGGAGATGTTGTAGGCAGACACTTAACCAACTGTAGCTTCTTGTCATAATACTACAGGGGTCCTGAACAGAAGATGGCATCCATTCCATTTATTCGTTGAGTTTATATTTTTGAAATGTATTCCTTGCTTTTAGGTCATGTATCTATACTTAGCCAACTAAGAAAACCTGAGAGTCATTGGTAACAGTTGCCCTGTTCTACCTTCATTTGCATTCCAGCATGTACCTGGAAAACAAGGTATCTTTGTTATGAGGGAAATTAGAGAGGCACATGTACTTCCACTGGTCAAGTTGGGTCATACATTGGAAAGTGCCACTAGTATTAACTGTGACTCAATAACTCAGAGGTGCTAATGTTTGTCTTAGTACATTCTAAATATAGAAATGATTTAGTCGCAGAGACCTAGGACATTGGCAAAGACATTTAGAAGAAGCCTGTGGCTTTCTGATCACAAAATGTTTAATTCTCTGTAGATTCTGCAGGTAAAATTGATTCATGACAACCTTTGAAAAATAGTAACAGAACTCTGAACTCTGAGCTTTGCCTTCTGGAAGATATTTAATGGGGAAATAAAAGCCCATAGCTTTCACTTTACTATCATAGTACAATGACTAATAGTTTTATATTTTATACTCCCTACCTAAAAACTGTCATTACCAATAAGAGGAATATGGAAAACATATCTGGATAATTCCAATTGTTTTTTTCATGTTATTACATTCTCTATATTAGTTTTGCCATTTTCATGTTGTTTAGCTGAAGCTATAGTTAAGCAATCAATTATAAACTCTACCTAGCAGATGTCCATTTCTTAATTTCTTACTATCATTTTCTTTTTCCTTTTAAAGGACACTTTAGGGCTGGCCCGGTGGCGCACTGCTACAGTGCGCCGCTTGGGAGCGCGGCGGCGCTCCCGCCGAGGGTTCAGATCCCACATGCAGACTGGTTCCCGCTCACTGTCTGAGCGAGGTGCGGGTGCAACACTGAGGGTTGCGATCCCGTTGCCGGTCCCGGCCCGGTGCGGGCGCGACACTGAGGGTTGCGCAGACTGGTTCCCGCTCACTGTCTGAGCGAGGTGCGGGTGCAACACTGAGGGTTGCGATCCCGTTGCCGGTCCCAGCCCGGTGCGGGCGCGACACTGAGGGTTGCGATCCGTTGCCAGACACGAAAAAAGACAAAAAAAAGGAAAAAAAATAAAAAATAAAAAAATAAAGGACACTTTAGCTTCATTCCTTGTGAAGTACATCCCATTTTCTCAAAACTCAATCTCCTTATTTCTTCATCATAAATAAGTCCTGACAATGAAAAGTGTTATAAAAAGAGGGTAGTGTATTTTATTTTATTGAGCCATTAAACCAATAGCTGCTGTGATAAAGAGTGATGTATTTGCCCAATTAATACTTTGCCCTAATGGGAAAGAGGCTGGCCAATGTGGATTTATTTTGGAGTATATTCTCCATTTAACCTGTTCTTGGCAGTGATCTCAAATTCAAGAATCCAAATATGAGTCTGAATATTTATCTTCTTTTATTAGTCCATTTGTGTTGCTATAACAGAAATACCTGAGACTGGGTAATTTATAAAGAAAAGAGATTTGGCTTACGATTCTGGGACAGCTGCATCTGCTGTGTATCTCAGGCTGCTTCTACTCATGGAGGAAGCAGTAGGCAGCCAGAGGGTATGAGCAGATCACATGGTGAGAGGAAGCAAGAGAGAGAGAGGAGGTGCCAAGGTCTTTTAAACAACCAGCTCTCACGGGAACTTAAAGAGCGAGAACTCACACATTACTCTCCCCTCCCCCAGGGAGAGCATTAATCCATTCATGAGGGATCCGCCCCCATGATTCAATCAGTTTCCAACACTGCCACATTGGAGATCAAATTTCGACATGAGTTTTGGAGGGGACAACACACCCAAACTCCATCACTTCTCTCTATGAATTCTGGGAAATTTTGACCTTTAATAATCCTTAGAATTACTGAGCCTTCTTTTCTATGGATTTGAAATACATACCATGCTAGTGGTAAAGACAGGGGTTCTTTCTCTTTGGCCATCTTTCCCCAAATGTGTTGCATTCTTCTATATTTAGACATTTGATGTCTATTGTGTAAATCCATTTGGATACTGTTCCAGGCTGGGCCTTCTTCACTGCTTTCACTATTTATATCAAGCATTATGATATTCCAAATCTTATGTTATCCTTACTGTTTTTTTTTTTTTTGCATTAGAATATTTTAGTTTGCTATGTAGAAAGATAGTTTTATTAGTGAAACATTTCCAGAATTTAATTTATTGTCAGGAGAATGTTGAAATTTTTATATTGGTTGATAATGTTACACAATCATATTTTGTAATCACACATTATTCAGTTTTAAGCTTATATAGAGATATGTGGATACACAGATATATAAATATATAGGTATATAGCTACAGTTATCACTATTGATCTTCTATACTTCTGTGTGAATGTAAAAGAGGACAGTAGTGATTTATGCATTTGTTTATTCAGCAAAATTTTATTGCATACTTTATTATATCCTAATTATGTGGCACCATTCAAAACAATAATACAATTAAATTTAAAACATTTAGATTCATTCTTGTAAATTTTATTATATATTTGGTTACTCTTTGATAGTTGGAACTTAATGTTCTAACTAGGATATCAAAGAACTGAAGCCATAATCATGTTACTGTTTTCATATAGTTCTACAGGGTATGGGGTGGGGCAGTAGAATGTGTTATACAACATTATAAAAATGGGATTATATAATTAATTACAAATATGATTGGAGAACTTAGAATAGAGTTGTAAATCATCATAAAAAGTAAGTGTGGTAAATATATATGAACCCGAGAAGTTCATATGTATATAAACTCTCTTTTTCAAGAGAGATTCAAAGAACAAAGCAAATATGGAGGTACTTCAAAAAGTTCATGAAAAAATAGAAGTAAAAAGTAATACAAATCTTTCTGTGAGCTTTTTGAAGTACCTCATACAATTAGGAAAAAAGAATACTGTCGCAGAAATGGATTTTGAGTATAAATGCATATTTAGACTCTACTTCCAATTTTGCCAGCAGCTACAGGTGATGGACAATTTCATACTCCCCTCATCCTATTTCCTATTTTCCACATATGCAGATGCATGCAGTGTGCAAAATATAAATGCATATTTAGACTCTACTTCCAATTTTGCCAGCAGCTACAGGTGATGGACACTTTCATACTCCCCTCATCCTATTTCCTATTTTCCACATATGCAGATGCATGCAGTGTGCAAAGGTGCATGCCCACCCCTCACTTGGGCTCTGGCACTTACACCAGAGGCACCTTGATCATTTACAAACTAAAAAGAAAGTATTGGAAATACCTCACCCTCAAGGTGGAGTTAGAACAGATCTTCTGGGTTTTGAAGCCCAAGTAATATCTTAGATATAAATGTAAATATAAATATTTTATATAACTATAAAATAAATATGCTTTCCAAACAATTTTTCACAGAAGACTCCTTGGGATATTTATAGTTGTTACATGAAACAGACTGTTCTAAGGACAATTACGGGGAGACAAGGTTAATCAAGATTAGCCAATCTTTTTAAAAGCTACCTGGTTTCTGGAAAACTTTAGTATACTGCTTTATATTATGAATTTTCAAAAGGAAGGCATAATTTGTATAGTTTCTCAAACCTATTTGAACAGAATATTGTTCGTTCACAGAATATATCAAAAGGGTATTATTGCTGGAAACATATATTTTTAAATTATATTAGAGAATTCTAAAACAAGAGCATAAATATGGTTCTTTTATTTCTACAGAAACAGTGTTCTATATCAAAATGTAATATCCCAACCCTATTTATAACTATGACATCTTTTGTTAACTGCTCTAGTGTGCACTATTGGGCTATTTCCTCCACGAATATATAAACCTGGAAGGTAATACCATAGTTCCAAGATTTTTGGATCTTTGCTTTTGAATTCTTAATATCTATATTATAATTATAGTTATAGTCTGTATAAGTGTATAGATACAGTTGTCTATAATGATCTTTTATACCTCGATGTGAGTGTAAAATAGAATAAGACTGATTTATTCATTAATTTATTCAGCAAGATTTTATTGCATACTTACTAGTAAAGAACTTGAGCCACAGGTACAGGGAGACCCTGCCTTTAAGAAGCTTATAAATTTTCAGAATAAATTAATAATGTCATTACAATTATATTTTATTACTATGGATTATTTGGTTTATAAGCATACATAGAAATATATGGATATGTCAATATATAAATATGTAAGTATATAGCTATTATTGTCCCTAATGATCCCCTATACCTCTATGTGAATGTAAAAGAGAACAGTCTATGAATAAATAAAAATATAGGAAATTAGATTTAGGTATCATGTAAAAAAAAATAACATAAAAATAGGATTTTAGAAAAAGAAGAAATGGGGCCGGCCCGGTGGCGCACTGCTACAGTGCGCCACTTGGGAGTGCGGCAGTGCTCCCGCCGAGGGTTTGGATCCCACATACAGACCGGTTCCCGCTCACTAGCTGAGCGAGGCGCGGGCGCAGCACCAAGGG